TTAACAGCACTTTAGTCTGCTGCGCCACCAAGGCTCTATAGGTTGCCACCAAAGTTGAGGAAAGACGGTGGCTTATGGGTTGTCGCCAAGCAATGCACCTGTCCAGGAAAGATGCTCAGCTGGGGAGGCTTTGGAGGTGCTCCAGAAATCGTACGCATCCTTAGGGATCCTGGATTTTGAGCCCTATGCTCTGGTTGGTTCTCCTTTTGGGGTGTCAGGGTTCAAGCAGACTTGGTGACACCGGGAGCAACCACTGATGGGAGGGACCCATAATCAGACAGCCGAAGGAGTCGGGGGGGGGAATCAACCAAAAGTCAACATCTATGATGGAGCCATCAAAAGAAGAGAGAACTTGGATAGCACCATCCTCTTCACCAGACTCTGCAGATACCATTTCTACAGTGGCTTTGAGGCCCTCCTTCTCCACCAGTTCAAGGTTGACCAAAGACCTTCCCGTCCTTCCAACTGATGAAGTCTGCAGGGTTGCGGGGGTAGGCAAGGACCCCAGTCATGGCTGCCCCTCAACCTCCGCATGCAAAGAGTTTCTGGAACACAAGTCCTGCCCTTCATGCATTGACGTTCCACCCTGAAATTGAGGAGATGTAGGTCCCACTGTTTACACAGCCACGGCCTTCTTTGGCCATGTCTGCTCTTGCCAGCTGCCTCGATTCAAGTGGGCATCTCTCCTTCTCTTAAGGCAGGCGGTGCGAGCTTTTACGACAGGTGTACTTCAACTTCCAGAATTCCTGAGCCAGCAGGGAGCACCCATAACTCCAGCAGGCAGACTTGATTGTTGCTTCAGGTTTGAGGGGTTTGTGAAAACACGTCAAGCCAACTCTCCATCTTGGGGGGCTTCTTGGAGGACTGAAGAGCTGCTGATTGTTCTCCGGAGGAGCTGGTGAAGGTGAATTGCTCATAAACTCTGGAGGTTTTGGTGCTCTCTGAGCTTGGTGGTTTCCTTGCGGATGTTTCATGACCCAACTGGGTAACATCATCAGTGTTAGGATGGAGTGGAGTTTGTGGAGAGGAGGAAGAGGAGGAGGACTATGGGGTCCTTGATGCTCTCTGACCTTGATGACTTCCTTGTAGACATTTCATGACCCAACTAGGCAGCATCATCAGTACTAGGAGGGAGTGGAGTGTGGAATGGAGGAGGAGGTGGAGGAGAAGGAGGTGAAGGAGGAGGACTGTGGGGTCTTTAGTGCTCCCTGAGCTTGGTGGTTGCCAAGGTTGGAGACCCCTGCTCCATATTGTCATGTTTTTTCCCTCTGAATTAAATTGTAGAAGAGAAACAGCAGATGTCTCCTTCTGTGACGGGAAAGCAGAATTTCAAAAAAAGCATCATCATTTCCCCTTCCATTAATAGCCACCCTTGTGGCTTGCGTGTTCCCCTTTAAAAAATAATAATAATAATAAAGCTATAGCCTATTTAACGCTTGTCCAAGTCTGCCTGGCTCTGATAGGGTGTGGAAATGCGTGCACTTGCACCCCCCCCAGATGAAAGAGCAAAAAGGGGTGGGGGGAGTGGGAGTCAGGAGAGCAGGAGGGTCCCCTTAAAATCTCTCCCCACCCATTGAGCAATTCAGGCCGGGACGTCATGCCAAATTTTGTTAAGACCCACATCGTTTTCAAATGCAGGTCCTTGTTGACTTAACAACCGCTCACTTAGTGACCATTTGAAGTTACGGCACTGAAAAACAGTGACTTATATGACCACGTTTCACATGACAGTTGCAGAGTCACATGATCAAAATTCGGCAACTGTCTCGTATTTATGACGGTTGTTGCAATGTCCCATGATCACCATTTTGTGATAGGGAGGGGAGCCTGATTCACTTAACAACCATATGACTCACTTAACCACGGCAGTGATTCACTTAACAACTGTGGTCAAAAGGTTGTAAAATGGCCCAAAATTTACTTAATAAGTGCCTTGTTTAGTAACAGAAATTTGGGGCTCAGGTGAGATGGTAAATCAAGGACTATATTCTGCCAAAATACCTTCTTTTTTCTTCTGATGGGCTTAAGAGTTGGGTGAAGGTATATTTTAGCCTCCTCCAGCCTTACATCTGCTGGACTTCAACTCCCATGACCCTGGGCAGCTGAGGATTTGTCCTTGTCAGGGAGGGGTAGAGTTAAACTAGGGTGATGAATGAGGCCTTGTAAAGAGGAAGCATGATCTGAGCCGTGTTTTAAGAGCTTTCTTCATTCCATGTTTTCAGGAACACGACTTTGCTTGAAGCAAAGTTTCCATTTAGATAAAAATGCTGCTAGAAGAGAATATCTGCAGCTCAGGGTTGAACTGTGGTCTCTGAGCTTGGTGGTTTCTGTGCACTTTTCATGACCCTTCTAAGTAAGATCATCAGTGGTAGAAGGGAGAGGGAGTGAGGTGTGTGTGGAGGGAGGAGGAGGAGGAGGGTTGTGGGGTCCTTGGTGCTCCCTGAGCTTGGAGGTTTCCTTGCAGACGTTTCATGACCCAATAAAGTAACATCATCAGTGCCGGAAGGAAGTTGGGTTTGCTCTCTTTACATACAAGTATTGCCAGTATTGGTTGGAACGTGGTTTTCTTCTTGGTGGTCCCTTAGTTAGGCTGTTGCTTACTGTTTGATTGTTGGCCAGAGTCGCTCCATCCTTCATTGGGATCTTGTTTACCGCTGGATGATTAATCTAGCGTTAACCCCCATCTGAAAGACCTCTTCCTACCGAGCTGTTGTAGAACTTATTCCCGAATTCCAACACGACACGGGAAGCAAGGGGAAAACGAAAGCCATCCTCCCTCCAAAATGGGAATAATTTTAATTCAACCAAAATCTAAATGAACCCACTGGGCTTCATTTTATACCCCCCCCCCCCCCCCCCAGCCTGGAGTAGAGGAAAATTCTGCTGGCCGCCTCATCCGACATCTCCTTGATCCAGAACTTGTGCGTTGCTATTTCCAAGAATGGGGATGTTGGTTTCGTAAGATCTCTGGAAGCATGGGTGGGTGGGTGGGTGGGTGGCTGTTTCTGGGCCAAACGGAGTGGGGGAATGGCTTCCATCAGCCCCGCCCACCCTTTTTGAGTAATGCTCCCGTTCCCCCCACCCACGTCTTTCCTTCTTGACTTGAGTTCAAGAACTGTCGCAAGAATGGGTTGCTCAAACTTCTAGCGTTCGCTGGCAGAAGAGGAAGTCCTGTTGACATCCAGGAGTTTCCTCCACCACGGGACTGGAGAGGGTCATGCCGTTGAGGGCTAGGATGCTCAGATGCCCACAGAGAAAGGAGGAGCCTTCAGGGAGGGCTTTGAAAAGTGGTGGGACTCAACCTCCAGCTGTGTGAAAAGGCCCAACCTTTCCTCCCCTCCCTGAGGCCGTTGGCCGACACAACAGGTTTAAGAGGAAGGCCATCCCATTTTGGGGGGGAAGAGCTTCTCCGTCTGCCTCTATGGCTTCCATTGAGCTCCTCGCTCAAAGAGAGGAGGGATTTGTTGAGTTAGCAAGAAGCCTGATGAAATCATGGGGTTGGGAAGGACCTTGGAGGTCTTCTAGGCCCAGAGGTCTCCAACCTTGGCAACTTTAAGACTTGTGGACTTCAACTCCCAGAGTTCCTCAGCCAGCTTTGCTGGCTGAGGAACTCTTGGAGTTGAAGTCCACAAGTCTTAAAGTTGCCAAGGTTGGAGACCCCCTCCTCTGCTCAAGCAGGAAACCTCATACCATCCCGGATAAATGGCTAGTCAATCTTTTCTTGAAGAACATCTAGTGATGGAGCATCCACAACTCCAAGAGGCAAACTCGATCATTGCTTCAGGTTGAAGATTTTCGTGAAAACGTGTCAAGCCAACTCTCTATCTTGGGGACCTCCTGGAGGACAGAAGAGCTGCTGATTGTTCTCAGAAGGAGACAATGAATTGCTTATAAACTGCGGGGTCCTTGGTTCTCTTTGTGCTGTGTGGCTTTTCTTGCAAACTCTTCATTACCCAACTGGGTAACATCATCCATGCAGCTGATAAACAGATAAGCAGGGATTAAGTCCAGACAAACGATCTAGCAGACAAACAGTATCTTAATCAAAGAACAAACGAGGGGGAAAAGCACACTCCCACTCTCAGAGGTAGGGCAAGCTACTCTATATAAACAGAGCAAACCCAACACTCACCAACACTGATGATGTTACCAAATTGGGTCATGAAAAGTCTGCAAGAAAACAAGCAAGCACAAGGGAACCTCTACGAAGTCAAAGAAAATCTGGAGATCTCCAAGGAGCTATGAAGACACGAAAAAGGGATCAACTGGTCATTTTAATCCCGGACATGATCGGAGACAAATCTTGTTTGTCCGGGGTGGCCAAAAACCAGGAGGAATCTGGTAGCACCTTTTCCAGCTAACAAAATTTATTAAAAGTCAGAAGGTTCGGCTTCTGCCTTCTAATAAACTTTTGTTAGCTGGAAAAAGTGCTACCAGACTTCTGATTTCCGATCCGTGGAAGGCTTGTCGTAAGGCAAAATTCTTTCATCTGCTTTTTCCTTTCAGTTCTGGATTTTCTAGTGATGAGAAATAATTTTAAACAGGGGTCAGGAAGAACCATGAGTGAAAGGGACGAGTTGTTAAGCCTCCAAGTGGTTGCCCTAACTAACCCTTGTAAAAAATCCACTTCATCCCCAAAGAATCTTAACACTTCCAGCAAAACATTCGATTTTTTTTTCTTTTAAAAAGCCAGTCATGTTTTGTTCTCATTCTCCCCCAAAAAAACCACAATCCCATTTGAATTGGAAAAAGATGTTGGGCCAAAAAATCAAATCATATAAAAATAAATGGAAGCAACAAAGACCCGGCCAGATTCCTTTGGGAGAAGTTCAGCTGCTTTGGAAGCCAGAATAGAAGCATTGCAGCCTAGCTAAACCATTATTTTTTGCAGTTTCCCTAGCTGAGTTTATGTTGTGGCGTGTCGGCGTTTCTGAGGGTTTTACGAGCCACCGAGCATCTGAAGATCCCGGGGGTTTAAACATAATAATCTAAGAAATAAGTTAAAGTTAGATGGAGAGAGAAAGGTTTATTTTCAGTGCTTCCTTTATTTCTTCAAGACTTTTCCACTTGTTCTCCGGACCTCTTCAGTGCAGCCAGCAGCCTCCGGCCTTAAGTGGTACCCAAAAAGGCGAGCATCACTAGTCACACCTGAAGTCAGAGAAGGGTGTGTTGGAGCCCAAGAGGTGCAAAGTAAACCCCAGGTTGTTCACTTGTGTTTCTCCCAGCCCCTCCCTCCGATTTAGCCCCCTTGGGAGGCAGAATGGACCTTCCCTTCTCCTGCACCCGAAGCCCTCAACGTTTCTCAACCTGGGTTGGACTAGAAGACCTCCAAGGTCCCTCCCAGCTCTGTTATCCTTTCCCAAACAGCTTTTCCAAGGAGATGGTCCTTCTGTTCCTGTTGATTCTTGGACTCTCGGGGATGGTGGGAGGGGGCCCTTCCCGCCCAGCTCCCCAGGCCCTCCCCACTTGCCCCCTTCCCCTTGCCAAGGAGCCCCAAATTCCAACGTCCGAGCAGGGGACTTCTCAGCAGACCGACTGGGCTTGGCAGGGGAGGCTGTCCTGAACCCTGAGCGTGGTCGTCCCTTTGGGCGGCCGAAACCAGCAGGGCCAGCTGAGCTGGTAGCAGAAGAAATGGCGGAGGCTGCGGAAGACGGCATGGCGGAAGATGATGAAGAGCCATGGGTCCACGATGGGATTCAGCGCACTCAAGCGGAAGGCTACCATGTCGGCCGCTTCGCTGTGGTCCGGATCGATGCCACCGATGTAAGCTCGGATCTAGAGGGCAACGGGAAACAAGGGGTTAGCAAGCAAGCTCAGGGAGCACCAAGGATCCCACAGTCCTCCTCTTCCTCCTCCTCTCCACAAGCCCCACTGTCTTCTACCACTGATGATGTTCCCTAGTTGGGTCATGAAATGTCTGCAAGGAAACCAAGCTCAGAGAGTTCCAAGGAACCTACAGTTCTTCTCATTCTCCTCCTTCTTTCCACAGCTTCTCTTCTAGAACTGATGGGGTTACCCAGTTGGGTAATGTCATGTCTGCAAGAAAACAACCAAGGACCCTATAGTCTTCTTCTTCCTCCTCCTCCTCCTCCTCCTCCTCCTCTCCACAAACCCCTCTCCCTTCTAGCACTGATGATGTTCCCTAGCTGGGTCATGAAACGTCTTCAAGAAAGCCACCGAACTCAGAGAGCACCAAGGACCCCACGTTTCAACCCTGAGCTACAAATGTTGAAATCCACAAGTCTTAAAAAAACGGCCAAACTTGGAGATCCTTGCTGATTTGTTCCCAGATCACTCGCAATTGTTCCAAGATTTGAAAAACGACCCACTGCATCATAGGACCCCAACCTCACAAGTCAAAGTTTGTCACTTCCGCAGATATTCGTCTTGAGAGATTCACGGGGTGAATTCTGTCCTAGGTGCCACGAAACCCCTGGAATTTGGGGCTTTTGAAAAATCACCTTTGTTTATTTGATTTTTCACTTTTTTTTTTCCATTTTATCCTTGCAACAATCTTTGTGCCGTGGACCAGACTGGCTCAAAGGCCACCCCATTTTCAGCTTCTTGGCCGGAGGAGTCTGGACTCCCGAATTAAAGATTAATGTGATGGAGTCCAGGTTATTTATAATGTACATGATCTCCAAACTGGTTTCTATTTTTGTCCTAATTGCTCTGTTCTTCCCCCAAATGAATAGCAGAAATTTTGGGTTTTTTTTTTTCTTAAAGAAAATTGAGAGCAATTTTGACCTCTTAACTCTGCTGATTGCAAAAGTCCTGAGAAAAGAGGGTGGGAACTGAGGAACGGAGGGCTGGAGGAAAGAAGAAGCATGCATAAGGGCAGGGACAGGGCTTCTGTTGCAGGCACACAGGGGGTCCAAAGAAGGTGTTCAACCTGAGCCCACGAGTTTTCTCCAGCTGCGCATCGCCAGGCAAGGAAGTCTTGCACTCTGACCCAGAAAATCACAGGTTGCAAGTTCGAATTGGGTGTCAGCATCTGTGCGTATCCATAGAAGAAAAATATTTGCAGCTCCGGTTGAACGCTGGGGTCCTTGGTGGTTTCTTGCAGATGTTTCATGAAGACCCAAGTAGGAAACACCATCAGTGCTAGAAGGCTGTGGGGTTTAGGAAGAGGAGGAGGAGACTGTGGGGTCCTTGGTGCTTTCTGATCTTGGTGGTTTTCTTGCAGATGTTTCATTACCCAACTAGGGAACATCATCAGTTGTAGAAGACAGTAGGGTTTGTGGAGAGGAAGAAGAGAAGGAGGAGAAGGAAGACTGTGGGGTCCCTGATGATCTCTGAGCTTGGTTGTATTTTTGAAGACGTTTCACGACCCAACAAGGTAACATCATCAGCGCTAGAAGGGAATAGGATGCACAGAATGGAAGAGAAGGGAGAATGGGTGACGGAAAAGGGAGGAAAAGGGAAGAGAAGGACGAAGACTGTGGGATCCTTGGTGCTCTCTGACCTTAGTGGTTTTCTTGCAGACATTTAATTACCAAATTAGGTAACATCATCTGTGCTAGAAGGGGGGGGGCAGGACTCTGGGATCCTTGATGCTCTCTGAGCTTGATGATTTCCTTGCAGAGAAGCTGGATTTGCCTAGCGACTCCATCATTCACTTAACCAACTGCATTGATTGACTTAACAACCGTGGCCAAAAGGTTCTAAAATTGGGTGCAACTTTACTTAACAATTCCTTTGCTTCGCGACGGAAATTTCGGTGCCTGCTGTGGTCCTAAGTCAAGGACTGCCTACAGAGGACATTGCAAACAGATGGTAACGCTGCTGTCCTCTCCCTGACCTATATTCCCTTTATGACAAAGCCCAATAAAAATTTGATCTGTGCCCAGGATGCAAAAACTAAGCCAGGCTTTCTTAACTGAGGTGGAAATTTACAAGAAGGATGGCTTTTTAAGCAGAGCTTGTATTTATAAATGCTGATCTGTATTTTTAGCTTGTGTCTGTCAGGCTAAAAAAAAAAATCCTCTTCCTTTTAAAAAACAAATGGATGCCCTTAAAAGAAACCCAAGGAATATTTATTTTTGGCAGATGTTTAACGACACAAGAATCTGCAGTTTTAGCCAGTTGGAGGAACCTTTGATCAGGTAAAAGGAGACCCAGAACCAGCCAAACAGAGAAAAGAATTAAAAGATTTACACAAATTCCCGGCTCAGTGAATGGAAAGTTTTGGGATGGTTATATCACTTCCCAACTGACCTAAATTCATTAAGAGATTCTCATGTTTGCTTATAATAATAATGAATGGTTATATATATATCTATAAGATTCTATATCAGTGTTTCTCAACCTTGGTAGCTTGAAGATGTGTGGACTTCAACTCCCAGAATCCCCCAGCCAGCGATTCTGGGAGTTGAAGTCCACCCATCTTCAAGCTACCAAGGTTGAGAAATATTGTTCTATATATACGATATACTACATCTATACTCTCTATCCTCCTGCAGTCTGGTGATCCCAGATTAAATGAAATCGGACTTCAGATTAAAATCTTTGTTGGATGAAACGCAATTTCTTCGGAATGCTAGTTTATAAAGCACTTTGAAAAGCATTTGCAGTGACACTAACAAAGAAAGGGAAAAAACATTAACGTCTTGGTTATGTTGCAAATGCTGCAGCTGTGTTTTTATAAGTGCCTTTTTGTAAGTGCTTGTTTTTTTTAAAATGTGGGTTTGGTTGTTATTGTTTTTTAAACTCATCCAAATTCTCCCTTCCATTAAATATCAATCTGATTCTGGACAGAAAAACAGTCTATTAGTCAGTTGCTGTGTTAAGCTTGCCATATTTCAAAATGGAAAGAGCGGAGCGGGTTTGCCATTTTGTAAAAGGATGGCATCTTTGGAAATTGACCTCCTCACAAGGATACTTGGATACTGCAGATGCCAAAAAAGCCAACGCAGTTCTAGGCTGCATTAACAGAGGGAGAGAATCAAGATCACACGACGTGTTAATACCACTTTATAAGGTCTTGCTAAGGCCACACTTGGAATATTGCATCCAGTTTTGCTCTCGCCATGCTATTAAAAAGATGTTGAGACTCTGGAAAGAGTGCAGAGAAGAGCAACCAAGAGGATTAGGACATATAAAGAACGGTTGCTGGAACTGGGTATGACTAGTTTAATGAAAAGAAGGCCCAGGGATGACATGGTAGCATCTTCCAATATTTGAGAGGCTGCCACAAATAATAATAATAATAATAATAATAATAATAATAATAATAATAATAATAATAATAATTTTATTTCTATAAAAAAGAGGAAGGGGTCAACCTATTCTCCAAAGCAGAAGAAACTTCCTAAAAGTTTTATTTCTACAAAGAAGAGGAAGGGGTCAACCTATTCTCCAAAGCACTTAAAGGCAGGACAAGAAGCAACGGATGGGAACTCATCAAGGAGAGAAGCAACCTGGAATTAAGAAGAAACTTCCTAAAAGTGAGAAAACAATCAGTGGAACAGCCCTGCTTTCAGAAGTTGTGGATGCTTCATCACTGGAGGTTTTCAAGAGGAAACTGGACAGCCATTTGACCAGGATGATATAGGGTTTCCTGGTTGGGCCAGAGGACCTCCAAGATCCCTTCCAACTCTTGTTATTCTGTTCTTTGTTTTAGAAAAATATTTGTTCCACTTGGAGAAACAGCTAAGCCTTTCCAAAGAGAAAACCTCTCGGGATGCTGGTTGAAAAATGACTAAATTTTGCTCCCCCCTCATAGATATGCAGGAGGGCCTCAAGCCAACGGCTGGCCTGGCCGACCTAGGATGGGAACGGTAGTGCATCGGATCTGGCCAGCTCCTTGGCTTGCAAAACGCTTTGCCCCCGTTTCGTGAGGCTTCCCCCCAAGGAATAGAAGGGGATATTCTGGGAAGAGAGAGCTGGGAAGATGAGGCGAATCAGGATTTGGAAGAAGAAAAGGGTGGAGGAGGTCCCATTATGGAAATTATCAGGAAACGGTCTTTCTTGATAAGGTTCCCAGGGTAGGGTGAGTTTTTCTCAACTTCGGCCACTTTAAGACGAGTGGACTTCAACTCCTGGAATTCCCCAGACTGACTGCTAATGAACTTGAAAAGGAGTGGACTTCAGGTCCCAGAAGCCCCCAGGAAACATGGCTGGGGAATTCTGGGAGTTGAAGTCCACCCTTCTTTGTTGTTGTTAGTTGTGAAGTTGTGTCCGACCCATCGCAACCCCATGGACAATGTTCCTCCAGGGCTTCCTGTCCTCTACCATTCTCTGGAGTCCATTTAAGCTCACACCGACTGCTTCAGTGACTCCATCCAGCCACCTCGTTCTCTGTCGTCCCCTTCTTCTTTTGACCTCCATCTTTCCCAGCATTATCCACCCCTCTTAAAGCACGCTAACTGGGGGATTCTGGGAGTTGTAGTCCACACATCTTCGAGTTCAAGAGTGTGCTGGCTAGGGAATTCTGGGAGTTGTAGTCCACCCCTCTTAAAATCACTGTGGTTGAGAAACTTTTCTCCAAAGAAAGAAGGATGCTAGTTGTAATAGACCCCAGGACAGGATGGCTGGGAATTTTGGGAGCTGGAGTCTCAGCACTTCTGGAAGGCGCCAGATTCAAGAGGGCTCGTCTCGAAACCTTTGGCCGCTGCCAACTGGGCTGTGTATGCCAGGCTTGTTTTAAGTCAACAGCTGCATTTGGTCTTGGAGGATAATCTTGGCCAGTGGCCAACGCGGGACCCAATTAAATTCGATCCCACTGCTGTGGAATGAAAATGGCACTCAACGAAACGCAAGCCTCCCCCCTTTCC